TATATATATATATATATATATATATATATATATATATATATATATATATAAATGTGTGTGTGTGTGTATGTGTAATGTTTCAATGAATTTTAATAATGTATTGTTTAAAAAATAAATGGGCATACACATAAAATTATTACTAAATTTTAATCGGTGCCAGTCCTACTCATATCGCAAAATAGTATCTGTACATGTAGTGTCAAAATACGCTTTTATGTGAAGGGGTCAGCTGTAGCGGAGACCACAACGGCGCAAGCGAAAGCGGCGGCGGCGACAGAGGAAGCGGACACGGCAGGGGCGGCGCGGGCGGCGGAGACAGCGGGAGCGGCTCCAGCCTCCAAGTCACGCCGCGCCTCCATCGTGTCGCAAGGGACAAGTGTAAATAGCGTAGAGCCGCAGTAGCAATAAATAATAGTAACGAGGTGCGAACGTTCCGCTCTTTTTTATATTTATTTATTTACGTCAGAAACGTAAAGTATGAGTAGTTTTTGCGTAACTTTTGCTTGAAGAAAAGGCAATGGATAATTTTTTTTTCAAAAATGACTCAATACTTGTATTGACGTTTTTCCTAGGATGAAGCTTAAAAAATAGCGCAGGTTCCATTTTCGGCGAATTCTCTTTATTTTCGAAAATAAAAAGATTACATTGACAAACTACAATATTAATAATTTTTTCTTAAGGAAATTGACCATTTATGTAAATCATAATCTCTGAATTTTCTAAAATGGCAAATGCATTTGTTCAACCTTTTCGTAAGCGTCGAGAAGACAGGGTTTAGTTGAGGAGCTGATGGTGTAAGGGTAGCGTGTCTGGTATGGCATCTTAAATCTGAAGACCCCAGTTTACACACCAGCAGGGAGAAAAAAATTGCTGGTTGGAAACATGTTTGCAGGTTCATGTTTCATCAACTTTATTCATATAATATTATGATGTTAAATAAGAAAAGCGATTAATTTCATTGTGTACCTGTTAAATCAATAAATGTATTCCAATATTGTGTAACCTTGACAAATAATTCGAGACAATATGTGATGTTGAAGCATCACTAATTATGACGTCATACAAAAAGGAAATTTCGATTAAAAACTGTGTTAAAGAAAGTAATTTATGAAAACGATACGATTTTTGGGGTAATATTACAATACTTCCGCCTTACTATGTAAGTACTATGTAAGGCGAGGCTGTAAAAAGAATAAAATGCGACACTATATAAAATAAAATGTGTTACATTAGGGACTTAGGAAGTGTTACATTAGCCGTTGCGGATTTCTGGCCTCGGCTCATTCATGGTCTCATCCGAAAATATCTTGTCCTTAATGTAATACTTTCCGTTCACGTAATATGAAGTTTTATTTCAAACACTCCTGGCAAAATACAAATTAAAACTTCGGGAAATATCGTTCAATTGCCATTTATGAGTGTATGTGAATGCATTGTTGTATATATTGGATCAGAACAGATCAAACTATTCGGCTCAGTAGTTATCTGCCCTCCCAAGCATCTCTCATAGATTCTCCGGTCTCCTAACCTCTCGCAGCTCATAGGTCCTTCTCAGTCTTGAGAAGAGCTGCCAACATTCCCCTAGTGGCGATTGCAGCTAAGCAAAGTGATATTGGGTACGGGTAGCGAAAATTTGTCTGGATTGGTTAGGGGGATAGCAGCGAAACTAATAATCTTAAGGTTCAGGATTTGATTCCTGTATCAATACCATCCGAAAACCAAAGAACAAGAGAGATAGAAAAAGTGAGAGAGACGAGAGAATGCGAGGGAGAGGGAGAGAGTGAGGGAGAGTGAGAGAGTGAGGGAGAGTGAGAGAGAGGGAGTGTGAGAGAATGTGAGAATGAGTGAGAGAGAGAGAGGGAGTTAGATGGAATGAGAGGGAATGAGAGTGGGAGAGGCGGGTCTGCGAGTGGGGAGGGGGCGCTGAAGGCGTGTGGGGGCGCCGTGCGCAGGGGCGGCGCGTTTCGAGCGGCATTCTGCGCTTCGTGGAGTCGGCCGGGTCGGACGAGGCGCAGCCGCAGCCGCCGGCCGAGTGGGCGGCGGAGGCGCACGAGCTGATGAAGCACTC